ATTATGTGAAGTTAAAACGCTAAGTATCCGAAATTATAGTAATATAGAATTTACGTTTTATAAGTAAAATTATTACTCCATCTGTCCCAATTTATAGTGCATGTTTATTATTCACAATGTCAAGCTTCATTCACTTTCTTTTTCTATTTTCGTTAGCAATTTGATAAAATAAAATATTATTGTCACTACTAGTTTTGTAGATCTTTTGATGTAGTATTTTAATACAAAACTTTTATTTTTTAACTCTAAACCATTTGTCATATAAAATGATTTGAAAATAATTTCAGTCAAACATCGTAAACCGAAACAGACACTATAAAATAAGACGGAGGTAGTATACTATACTTATAACAATTAATTGTTATTTTTAAAGTGTCTGAAATTTATACTAGCAAGAAAGGTAAGTTATAAAAAAAATATTTATAAAATAGGCAAAAATTGTTTATAAAAAATAATTACAAACTTTAATACGCGCCAATCAATGTTATTTTTTGGAATAATCATACACATGTTTTTGAGTAAGTTAAAGAACGTCTCCAATGAAATATTTTTTATTTAGTGCTTCAACACCGCCTTTAAAAATAGCATTGATTGGCCTGCATTAAAGTTTGTAATTATTTTTTTTATAAATAATTTTTGCATATTTTATAAATATTTTTTTATTACTTACCTTTCTTGCTAGTTTAAATTTCCAACACTTTAAAAATGTCAGTTAATTATTATAAATATATTATACTCCCCCCGTCCCCCAGTTTTTGTCCACTTTTGACTTTTGGAACTGTTCATCTAAACACTTTAACTCATCAAATTTTCTCAATGTGTAAGCCTAAATATAGTCATGTGTGATCTTGTTTAATTTGTCTTAACATGAAGATTATTAATATATAATTTCTATAATTTTTTAATATACAAATTACTCCGTACAAGATAAAATAGATTAAAAAAGTGAATTGGATGATGTGCATAAATGAAAGTGGACAAAAACTAGGGGACGGAGGGAGTAATAATTATACTTATATAACGTAAATTCTGTATTACTATAATTTCGGATACTTAGTATTTTAACTTCACATTACCATATGTAATAGTCATACTCTTTGGGCGGGAAAACACGATATTGACGGGTAAATTTCATCCATGATATACGAACTTTCATCATTATTTCACTTTGATATATAAACTTTAATTTCTTTCACAAAAGCACATGAACTTTCAACTTCTTTCACCGGTGGTCCAATAGGCGATTTCTAGATCACTTTCAGATCATTTGGAGTCAAATTATATTTTTATAAATTTAAATTTTTTATTTTGACCTCACTCTTCCCCCCTTTTCTTTCTCTTCTTCTCTCAGCCCCGCACCGAATCTTTTCTTCTTCTTTTTCTTTTTTCTTCTTCTTTATTTAATTTAAATAAATTAAATAAAAAATAAAAAGAAAAGAAGAAGAAGTACTCCGTATATGATTATACTAATGATGAATGAAGGAGCGCCGCCGGGAACCTCGTCAGGCCACCTGGTGGCCGAAATCTTGAACGGCTTCGATGCCGGAATCGGCCATGACCCGCCGGGGAACAAGAAAACAAGAAGATCGGCGCAATGGGTTCATGAGAAAGGAGTGAGGAGTGTGGAGAGGGCGGGTCAAAATAGAAGAAGAAGAAGATGATGATGAAGAAGAAGAATGGTGCGTGCT